GTTTATACAAAATAATCAACTCTCTAACAAATAAATTAGCAACAAATATACACAAACTATTATACTATATACTAACAATGACGTCACAACTAGCATCCAGAACTCAATTTACTAAACAACTAATCTCACAAACTTTAAACACAAAATCAGTGCATCCATCAAGTGTTTGAGGAGACTCAATCTGAATAGTGTAGCAATTCCATTTATCATAATTCACCTCCAGTGAGGGAACTAGGTAACGTCAGGCACTTCCCTGGCACATGATTTGCATAATAACCGAACTAAGTATACCCTCACATTCACATCCAAATCTAAACCATAAATTCAAGGTCTTAAAAGCGGTTTTACATGAACTGATTTAACCTAATCGCTCTCCACCCGATCAATTCTCATACACAGAATCAAAGACACTTGAACGTATTACGGCTATGTTAATGGATAATAGTTTCTATGGAGTTTAGATTAGCGTTTAATTACATGTTTTGATTTGAATTTAGAGAATTTCGCCGAATATTCAAATAAGCAGCTTGGAACCTCATGAGTGTGTGTGGTCATTAGGGCTGTCGTTTATTGGTGTGAATAACATACATAATATTAAACATTGAATTGTTTTCATGAAACTACATACCTCTATTTTGTATTATAGGAACAATAGAGTTAACTTCTAGTAAAAAATATACGTTGTTTTTTGGATTTTCCATACTCAATGATCATGGAACAAATATATCAATTAGATGATTAAATTTTCATTTTGTTTGTGCCAATATTTTTTGATATTAAGTTAACAACCATCGTAACTTTATTACGTTTCAAATACAACTGAATACAAATACTAACTTTGCATGGTGGACGTATTATAATGTACGAATAGTAATTTATTACATAGTATTGTCTATTACAATATCAAATCTCTATTAGGTTTGATGTTTCGGACTTTCCAATATATAACATTGGAAAGTAACTTACTTTTTAGAAGCATACAAATATATTAACCTAGAACTAAAAATAGACTTATTTAATATAAGGTATAAGGACAATCCGGATAAAGGCCCATAATAGGGGTCGGGATCCTTGCCAACGAGGGAAAAAGAGAAAAAAAGGAGGGTGGCTTAAATCAACCAATGACAATAAAAGAAACAAAATCACTCTACAATTTCCGCAGGTGAGCACTCGCCCTTCCAATACTTAGCACGTCGTTCGTCAAAAACTAACTAAGCTCATTTCATATTCACTTTACATCACGGCAACCCCACTTACAAAAAAATGCAAGGCCGATAGTGATGCCGATAGGCAAATACCCGCCCCAAATCATGACCTAATATCGGGCAATTTATCACCGACAGACCTTTGTGCCTGTGCCATCAATCTTGAGATTCCACCGCACTCAACACTCCAACTAATTATTGTCGATGGTGTCAAGACAGTTTACTTGTGGGTTTCAACATTTTTTCAACATCAAACTTATGCTTGGCGTACGGTTTGCGATAAATTATACGCTTCTTCGAACAATTTAATGTTGGGCGAGGGGTGAACTCTCCAAAATGTAAACACTAGCAATACGTCAAGTAGCGATGGTTCTTAATCTGTCAAATACCAAGCGGTCACCGGTGACCGCGACCTATTGTTCTTTAATTGTGTCTATTAAACCGGTACTCGACGAGTTAATAGATGAATGCTGGGGTATAGATCACTTGAAGCAAAGGGGAGCCAAATGAAACCATCCATTACGGCCAAGAAGGACATCTCGAAGGCAGACGGCAGCGGTAAGCGAGAAGATTTCCCTCAGTACCGTGAAATGAGCAAAACACCCGCCCCGTGTGTTAATAATAAAACAATACTCACCATACGTTACATTCATAACCCGGTCTAACAATACGAGTACATTTGTTTTTGTTTCCTCTGTGACAGCCGCTCTACATAACGCTAATGATATAATATTTTACAAAGACAACATCTAATAACGGCATAGTAATTTTCACGTGTTGCTTGACTAAGCGAACACCTTTTTCGCCGCAAAAGAAAAATATCCAGGTAGATTTATTACGCCCAGGAAGTAACATAGCAACATTAAGTTAATAAAGCATAAAAATATTTTACAGCGACTCATGGAGTGGCATCCACACGCGAGTAGGGAAGAAGGGCCATTTGCTTTATTACATTTACATTATACGCCCGTTAAAGCAGCCAACTGTACAAAATGTTGCATAAAATTCCTTTCTCGTGTCGCGATTGATCTTTTACTTCCTTTCAAATAATGTTTGCTTAGGGTACCGTTGAATAATGTACGCCAAATTTATTTTTCGCGTCTCTCTTAATTTGGCGCCTTGAATATGTACAGAATTATTCACACACACAGCCGCTACATAATACTTGATGATCTGAAAAAGTACCCCAATTTACTCGAGTTCAACCGCTTCAAACAATACGGAACCTTCGTTCAGTAAACGTTACTTTTCTTCCTTTTCTTTGAATACGTGCATAAACAAAATTATGTATGCCTCAGACGATACGAGCGTATATTATAATGGTTGTCTTTATTTTTGTCCCCGATCATAAATTTTCATTATGACGACTATGTTCATATACGTTTCCCCGATGTATAAGAAATAACAAGTCGTCTATGGGAGAATGTTATGCGATGCCACGGAGGCAGTAAACGGAATAATATCACTCAATCCATTCATTCTGACTACATGAATTAATAATGACGGAACACAACACGGTCCTGCTTTCGTTGACTGCCAAAAATAAACTGAATCAAGAAGTTACCAACCACATATGAAAAAACTAACGGTTGAAAACGAACCCATGTATTGCATTTTTATTTACACGTCTACGCAGTCCGGTTGTGACGCAAAAAGAAGAATAGATTTCACAGTATATACAGAAACACAGACGTTATATTAGAATACGAAGTGATTGTGTTTGGTTAAGCGAATGGTCGCGGATCGTGCCGGCCACGCAACAACGAACGTGCGTTGCGGGCGGATTTTTGAAAAGCAATCCGCGGAACAGAACAGCGTGTGCAAACACCCAGCTGACATTGGCTTTGAGCTCTGATATTTACCGAAAACTAGTGTGGACGTGAATGCAACTATTCTCAGTCTCCAATACACGCCAGCACTTACAGGCGCAAATAGAAATTGAAAAATCCACGCTCGCAAATCCTCGGAGGGTCGCGATCCTCACGTTCCTCACGCAACCGTCCCTTCTCCTACAAAGAGCTTGAACTGCGACATTATTTATTTAATTATTTATTTATTACAGCTTAACGGAAAATTCTTGAAAATATGCGTTGTGTTACTGTTACGTGTGTGAAGTAAATAATGCTATAATGCCAAAATATTCAGGTCAGGTGTGTGTAATATGCGTATTTTCCTGATAAAAATTTACATTATTTCGAGCAAAAGAAAACCTTAATATTGAAAAATGGCTTAAGCTTCGATACCAAGATAGGGTAAAAAGAAAAAAATATTGTTATTTAAAAAATAACCTGTTATAATGCGCCATCTACTTACATTGCAATAAAAAATTACTATTAATAAGAATGAATGTTAATAATTCTGTGTATGTCTCTCATAACAAATGTTATCAACGGGTGCAAAGTTCATCTATCCACGTCACCATGGTAACGACCCTAATAACTTCCTAATAGCATAACAAATCACTTTTAATTTTGTTTACCATCGCTTTGGGAGTGACTCGGTTATCTTCCGTTATCTAATTATAGAAATAACTATAATACAGTCTGTATATATACACAGAGAGGAAGGTCCTTTTAAAGTTTCCCTTTAAAACGAATGCGATTAAAATGAAACGGGTAATTAATTGAATATTACCTAGCTGTTTAGGTAGCTAGCTACATGGCCCCCTATCTAGCTTCCTAGCTTCACTGAGAGACAGACGGACGGACAATTCAATTTTTGACATTTCAATAGTCTCTTATTCAGGATTAATTGAAAAAAATGCTTTGACTTTGATTAAGTTTTTTAAAAACTGTAGATTAAAAGGTACATATGACCAAATAGAAAAAATATTTTTAGCTATTTCAACGTTTGTTACCTTTACTGAAAATTGATCATACGAGGAAATAAAAATAAAAAATAACCGGAGCGAATAAAATCATATTTTTCGAGTCCATTAAAATATGTAACATAGCAGTCAATATTTATCATGGGAAGAACAAATTTTATCTGGAACTAAAACAATAGCGTCGTACCAAAATTACAGCTCCATAAATTCACTTTCGTGAACAGCATCGCACAATGTCTTGAAAATAACGACGGTATAAACAAGTACGACAGTACTAGGCGCAGATAACTAAACAATATTACCCCCATATTTAACCACGAACCACGATGTATTTTATCACGGCACACAGTTGCTAAAATACCACTTCTACTACCTTTAACTTAGGCCGTTCATCAGTTTTAATGTACCCACATCCTCCGTGTATCAATTTCAAAGTCCTCATTTGCGTCCACCATAAGTTCTGCTTTCGTCCACACACATTCTATATCACTGCATTCGATATTAAAACTAATGGCTAAGAAAACAGGAACTATATTAGCTGAGCTTACAGACTTACTTACTGACCTGTTTATGTTGGCCCCTATATCCTTTCTTACACATACTACGTTCTTGTTTTCCCTAGTATACGGCTTGCTTACAGAGTCAACTTTATTTATTTTCGTTCTAAGTAAAAGAAAATCATGAAATAGTTTGTCGCATTTGAGCCCTTAGAAGCCTGTAATTTACTTTATGTTATGTCTCATACTGTACCCAAAGTCAGAATGTACTGCATTCTTGGAAAAAAGGATGATACACAAATAAAAACACGTTTTCGTATAGCAGAACTTGACTACTCTATTTATTATTAGTTTTCGGTTTAAATAAATATATAACTAGCGATTTTATAATACACACTTCTATAAATTTTGATATTTTAATGAATGTAAGTTGAAGCAATAGTATGTCGAGTTTAACTTTACAAAATAACATCACACCAATATTTCGCCGTTATCTATAACGTAAATACTGCCCGTGATACTGCGCGCGCGATCGCTCGATAGATAAAGAATCAGGTCAGCGACCTCCTCGCTTTCTGCCATTTTACCGAGCGGGTACAATGAGCTGCGGCTTTTGTATAACTCCGAAACTTGTTCTTTGGTAAAACCAGCTGTTTCTGCGAATGGGGTATTAGTACCGCCTGGATTAACAGAGTTGACGCGGACACCTTGACGACCAAGCTCCACCGCCAAACACTTGGTAAATTGGTCGAGACCGGCTTTCGATATACAATACGGCAAGTAATTCACGTCCTTGATCGGTCGTAAGGCCGCCACGCTCGATACGTTCACAATGTTCCCCTTTGTTTTGATGAGATGTGGCGCCGCTAAGCTTGTCAGATGGTACACTGCGCGTAAATTAGTGGCAATAGCACGATCAAGTAACTCTACACCTTCTAATATGCTCCCTTGGACTCCAACACCAGCGTTGTTCACGAGAACGTCGATGCGGCCAAATATGTTTATAGTTTTTGTCACAATATTCTTCACATCGTCGTCATGCGACAACTCCGCCTTGATAGTTAGTGGTTTAATACCTCTTGCATCTTCGCATTGTTTCGCAACTTTGTTCAAAGATTCTTCATTTCTTCCAACTAAGACAACTTTGGCAGACTGCTTGGCGTACAATAGTGCGGCAGCTGCTCCGATGCCGGAACTCGCGCCGGTGATCACGATAACTTTGTTGTCGAAGTCCATCGTCGCCCGCGCCGTGATTGTAACTAACGGTTTTACATTTTATCTACCAGTTTTAAGTAACAACTTAGATAAACAACATGACCTTCGACGTTCTACAGTTAATTTATTTTTAATTACAGTCTAAACAAAAAATACCTAGGTTTACAAGTACACTGTATATTACCTACCGTTATAATTTAGTTATTTTTCTTTAAAACCTTGTTTCAGATAAGTCCTTTGTAATTTTATCTGCAGTAATTATGGACAGGCAATATCTTCCATCCTTATTAAACGAAGTGCAATGAAATCACAATAGCTACCTGGTAAACTCGTAATCAGGGACATTAGTCAGTGGTTATAACGTTAAGCTAAGCATGTACTACGGTTGACTTGGCAAAGCGAGAAGAGAACTGCGGTCCGTGAGTAATACATACGTAGGAAATAAAATTTTGCGGTTTTATGGACGCGTCATATTCTCGGGACAAAGTGAATGTTTTTTAACGAAATATTTCAGCAATGACAGAACGGGCCGCAGCCGCTGCGGGAGAGACGTGTGCATTACACAAGCCGTCACGCGTACCACGAATATTTCTGTACGTTAGCCTGTCATTTCATTATTGTCGGCGGACTCGAGGGAAAATGTGTTAGTAGAATTATTCGCTACGCGCTCTTTTTTTATAAAATATTTCAGATGCTTCAGTGCCATAGCTTACGCACATATTAATACAAAACATTTTATACAGGCTTTACTTTATAGAGACATAAAATACAGGTTTTAAAACGGCATTAACAACGCAAGATCTGTTAATCCATTCATCCTGACTTGCCTCTCGTATCGAGGGCAAACTACGTAATGTTGGTTCCGAGGCATGCCATTTACATGAATGATTATTCGGGTGGATAGAGGATCGCGCGCAATTTTAACTCTTGAGATAAGGGAATGTAGGGTGGTTTTTGTGTGAGCGTATTCTGAGACCATTCCGAAGTTTATCTGTGCAAGCCGCGTGGAAAGCATTGTCCGGACCCGTTAGCCTATGTTAACACGACGCTTCCCCCGTCGGTAGACACACTGTAAACATAAATCGAATTCCTTCAAATATTATATTTTTACTCAAATGTTTCTTTTTGTATACAGACGAGATGTGGATGTACGAATCTATGGCATTATAAAATGCTTTGGTAGATGTATTTATTGATACACAAGAAATGATCCTGCAGTTACATCATGAAATAACGTTAATGTTACTTTTCTAAGGTCAGTTGATACTTTATAAATAAACATAAATGTAATGGGTTTTAGAAATATCAGATTCATATCCATAACAATTGGTGACTTTGTTTATAATAACCAAATGTTTAATGCAAACAGCAACTTCAGTATATCACACAAAAAAGACTACTGTCATTAGAAATTATCTTACCAACACAAAACAAATGATAATACATAATTTCCCAAACAATTTATAAAGCTTTCATGCATCGCCAAATGAGTTTCTAACCTGTAATTAATGCAAAATGTAATGCGGCATTACAGGAGGTCAGTTGCCTCACTAATTTGTACTGATTACTTGTTAATCTGCCGCAGAATGTTAACATCGCACGGCCATGTTGACTTTGCCGGCAAAAATTACGCTCAAATGTGCTCAAAGGAAAAATGTGGAGAATAATGGGCTGAACATTAACTTTTGTGCGATAGCGGTTTGAGTCGTTTTAGTTATTTTGTTGTATTTTAATCATTCACTCTTTATTATAACGTCATGTTTCTGACAGACATTTTTATTGTACGTGCTAGTGTTTGACTGCCATGAATATTAAGGAGGTGGTAATGTTGGATAATAAATAAAACTATTAAGTTTTACCTATTGAAATTGGAAATTATTTTCCAATAGTTCATTGGTTACTATAAAGGTCAGGTAAATTTAAGTCTCACAATATAAATATTTTGCAAATTAGGAAGTAAAAAATAACCAGGAATGTACAACATAAAACAATACTGAACAATGTCTGAAACAAGTTTGAAGGTCTTCAAACATTATTAATAACTGGCCACATCATTTCAAGGTAAATGTTACTCCAGTGGAGCCAAGACGCTGCGCAGTGGGTGGCGACATCCGTAAGTTGGGCTCTTATCATAAATCTTCGTGGCCCTGCAATGGATCACTCGCATCGACCACCCTTACCTCGCCCCTCATCATTTATACTTTATTATTGGAGGCTTACGAATCTCCAACCCTTTAAAATATTCAAATATACCCCCAAATACCTACGTAATAGAACTTTACCTTTTCTAACACAAAAACTACGCACAAGAAAAGTTTTTGTCAACTCGAGCAAATCCAATCAAGCCAGATAAACGAGCGAAATCGAAAAAAATAATTGTCATCTGCGATCCAATAGAAACGTGAACAAAACCTATCTGCAATACGATCAGCGATCATAATACACCTATTTGAAAATAAAGATTAGTGTGACAATTTAAATTCACAACTAGTAACACAATTTTCATCGAAATTGGGTTGTCATCAACTAACGAATATTGTCACGCGACAACTAATCATACAGTAAAATTAAATTGTCATTTTACGGGAAATATCAAACTGACGACCGACAGGAAACCAAAGTTTCACACCAGCGCGCCAACGAATGAATTTATGAATTAATTAAACGTCAATAACTAAACCTGTCAATATTCAAATTCGTGTAACATGCAAGCTACGTAGAACAATTATATCGAAACAAGCAGGCTAAAATTCTCGTACCATTGCGCGTTATAATATTTCTTCGGTGCCATTTAACTGACAGCCGACTGCAATGGACTGTAAAATGAAAACTTAAACCTCGTGTTTCGTTAAAGGCTTTGTACTTATACATACGTTGATTTCGGAAAATTGGCCGAGACGTGCATATCTAAGCTAAATTCATGGACTAGACTAATCTATTGTTAGATCTGTTTTAAAGTTTGGCGGGATTTCGCAGAATAATATCATTCAAAAATAGTGTTCTTGTTATTAGAAATGTTTGTATTGCTGACAAGACTGCATTGGACGAATAACGAACTATGTAAACGAATTTAACTTGAATTTAAATTTTACCTATAAATTATTTGCTCAAGGAAAATAGACTTAGAAGTACAGATTATCCATTTCATATCCTTCTAGGATCTGTACCTACAATCTGCTCTTTACAAAGCATCGGCGCTAGCACGTGTAACCTGCGTAATTTCAAATCTACATATATGTTGAATTCTTCACTGAAACACCTTTAAAAAATAATAACCACAATTTCGTTTCTATTACACTTGCTTCATGATTACCCATTAATACGCAAAAACTTAAATATAATGTTTTGGCTAAAGTCAATAATACAAGCTCACAATAAGCATCGCTAATCCGCATCGCTTAGGGTTTTTTACGCGGAAATCGCAGATATTCGGTTCAAGGAAATCAATCAGGGAGCGATTGGCCACGGCTCAAAGCGGATGCGGTTTATGTTAAGCGCTTAACTCATTATTTGGCTGCGGAACAAGAAGATCGATGTGCCAAAAATAGCCCAATACAACATTTTAGCTCGCCTCGCATTCCCGACGATTTAAGTTTTATAAAACAATGCTTTGGATACTGAAATATTTTATACATGATCATAGGAAAATTGGGAATGATTTTAAGTTTCTTTCAAAAACATAACCAATTGCTTTTTTTTCTACTATAATCAATATTCTTCTTCAACCTAAAAGACCCAATTATTTATTAAATTTTTGTATGACAAACGCAATGTATTACTGTCAAACTGAGAATAAAATAATGCTCGCCCCTAATACAATTTCAATAAAATCCTCAGCCACATCACTGACAGACGTTTTATTTCCACACACGGGTTATGAACGCGAAATGCGAGGCATTTTCAAGAATGAGCATTCACATAAAGCATTCCGTGGCATATTTTCAAATATAGATACATATGTACATATATAATAGTGTAGGTAATATAATAAGTCTTTTTGTTCGAGTGTTTACAAGTCCAACTGCTCAGCAAGATGTTTTAAATTAAAATTTGCCAAATCGACTTTATGATTTAGGGATTTTTTAAAAATATCATTGCTATTTGTTCGACTCGACTCTTACTACTACTACTACTACTTTCGAACTTGCTTGAAAACGATGGAATTCAAGTCACTAATGACCCATCATGAAATTTAACGTATTAGGAAATATTGTGAAAAATAAAACAATATTTTACGGACACCGGACCACCTAGTAACAAAACTGATGTTATGTTATTATAATAAGCACTTAATAAAAATTGACTACATGATGGATTGCCAAAGTTCAGAGCGACTCGAACTGGGTCAGGTTTAGTAAACATGGCCAACACATAAATATATGAATATTGCAGAGTGTTTGGACATCAAAGTGCGCTTTCATCGAATTCGCAATTCACAAATCTGAATAAATATTATGTGATTTTATCACTGACTGAATTACCTAATACGTTAAAAAATTTGTGTGTTACGAATTATAGAAATGTTCTTACCATAACATCTTTTATCATCCACATAACGGTTACGATGATTAAGATAAAAATTATTTCGCTTAAAAAAACACTTTCCACTTATTGGGATCTATCTACTTATGAACTATCTTACAAGTCATTTAATACCGCACCCATCGATCACAATTATAAAAATACTCAATGCAGCTAAAAATAATACTTTGACCAACTCCGAAATTAAATGGTCACGTGACTAATGAGATATTCAATAAATAATCCAGTATTTATGATCAAAACTTTATCAACATTTTACACGCACAAATCCGTTTGGAACACCAGCGAAAATATTTTCAATTTCCTCTTTGACACTTCAGACATAAAAAGCACTTTAATTTTTAGTAAAAAATAAATAAAAAATGAAATAACTGAAAGCTTCCATGTATAAAGCATCATGTGAAGTCATATAAAATCTGCATTAAACAGTTTATCTGGAGTTATTCAGACTTATATATAGAAAATCATATCTACCACGG